GTGATCCACCCGCCTCGGCCTCCCAAAGTGCTGGGATTACAGGCTTGAGCCACCGCGCCCGGCTGTTTTTTTTTTTTTAATTATTCTTTTGGGTCTCAAGAATGCAAAGAGAAGCAATATATAATTACCATTATTTCCCATAGGCTTTTACTAACCTGTGACTAGTTCATACAGTTATTAAAATAATTTAAATGCTAGAGAAATATTAGAAAGAAATGAGACTATGCCTACCAGGTGACTTTTAAAATTATTAAATGTAGTAAGACTGAATTTCAGTGGAGTTTGAAATAAGACATTTATTACTAAAAAATTAAAGAAAAAAGTAGATGATGATTTTGGGGATGTGTTTAAGCATTTACTTGTATTAAAGGATGTTCACAATTTAATCATTTGAATAGATGACAAAAATTAATTGAGTTTAAATTATTTTCAACATTTTATTAATAAAAAAAATAGTTCCCAGAGAGATTTTTCACTGTAATCTTTGAATTTCTTAGATTACATGAATTTGGATTTCTTAATTTTGTAGATTTTTTTGTTGTTTATCCGTAAGTTTTGGATTGTGGTTGTTTTTCAGGTTAGTGGAAGAGACCTTCACCATAGATGAAGTCTCCGAAGTCCTCAATGGATTGCAAGCTGTGGTTCATAGCGAGGTGGAATCTGAGCTCATCAACACTGCCTATACCAATGTGTTACTTCTGCGACAGCTGTTTGCACAAGCTGAGAAGTGGTATCTTAAGCTGCAGACAGACATCTCTGAACTTGAAAACCGGTAATAAAATTTGTACTTAAAACTGTGACAATAGTGGCCCAAGCATAATCTTAAAAGTTAGTGAACATCTTTGCTGCATATTTTCTTAGGGCGAAAATGTGAGACAATTTGGATAGGGTAACAACAAAGCATCAAGTCACTGAGTGATGTCTTGGGTACCACGCAGCACCCTTTTAAAAGTTGTTCCACTGTTCCTAGGTATTACAGAGGCCATCGAGATTTATGAAATTGCTTTTCAGGCTATCATTATTTCTTACAGCATTTTTGTTAGCTTGTCAGTATTACAATCAGTCTTTATAGATTGGTCAACTAAGAAATAAAAATTATGAGACAGTTGAAAAATCAATTCAAATATAAATACCATCAATTCAATCTAGTAGCATTGGAGGTTTTCTAAATAATTGAATTTAAAAGTACACATTTATTAACTTTAAAATAGGAAATATAAAATACAAAAAAGTTTATAATATGGACATCAAAGAGCTCAAATTCAAAAAATATGGTAAACTTGGTGACGTTGAAATCATTTTAAGAACAGGCATGGCAGAAATCAGGAAGGACTTCTCCAAGCACGGTCACAGCACGTCAGTTCATGTGCAGAGTGTTGAACAACACTGAGGACAACTTGTGGACTGGGGAGGAAAATCCTTTAACTTCTGCCACTGTCAGTAGGTGACTGGTGAGAAAACTGAGAAGGTGGCAGTTAAAGAAGCTTAGAAGCTGACTGCTGTTAACTCTCTCAGCTTGTGTACAGTCAGTTCCCATTGGCCTTGGCCAATCTTCAGATGGCACACCTCCACTATCTGTCTGTCCTAGGAATTTGTGATACTCCTTTTCAGGAGATACTATGGACTATTTTCATTTTTCTGAGGCTACTTTATTAAGAATCAGTTTGTCTTTCTTGAATCACCTTCTAGCTAACAATACATATTATATAATAAAACAATCTCATAGCACCTCAGGAATACAAAGTTGACTATAAATTTCCCTCACTTTTATATTAACACTGTAGTATATTTCTAGCAGTAGATATTGCATACCTAGTAGGTGCAAAATTCCAGGTGCTGTGGATGATCACATTTGAGTCCGTGTGGTTTAGGTTCTCAACCATTTGCAGCTAACATTCTTGATGTGGTGAAGTTTGGTCTACCTTGTGCTGTTCTCTCTGGCATATAATAGGTTGGTACCAGTGATTTTACTCTTCTTATGTGTGATATAAATCTGTTTTAAATGAATAATTTTTATCTTTGCTTTCATCTTCAAGAGAATTATTAGAACAAGTTGCAGAATTTGAAAAAGCAGAGATAACATCTTCAAACAAAAAGGTAACTTTTTGGTCATTGTAAATCCATATCTTAATAGCCAGTATTTAAAATTCTCAAGTCACTCAAAGAATTCAAAGATCAAACTGAGAACTCTTAAGGAAAAGCATTCAATTCAAGAGTAAAATTCAAAAATTGTCTCTCATATTTTCAGGCAAAAGAAAAAATGTTTTGGAAGTAACTATGGAAAACTGCTTTTGTCTGTGATGACCTAGACAAACACATGATCCCTAAGTCCAGTCTCAGTCCCACCCATAAATACTCAGAAGATGCAGAGCACAGGTTGTCAGGTCAGCCACACCTGGGGATACATCCTGGGTCTGTCACTTCCTGGCTGTGTTATCTTGAGCAGGTTATCTGAGGTAGCTCAGCTGCATTTTACTCATCTGACAAATGGAGACAATACTAGTAGTTACCTACTTCTCTTTCTAATCATTCTCATTAACTGGAATGACTACTTACGATTCTACTTTACAGACATACGGTGAATACTCCATTGTTGGATAAACACTGCTGAGATGAATCTATGTACACACACATACAAAACACTTTCCAGTTATTCCTTTGGGTCATATTTCTGGCTGAGAAATTTCTGGATCAGAGGGCAAGGATTCTTTTGTTTTTAATACATATTACTAAACGACTGGATTACTTGTGCCAAGTTATTGTTTATCTGTAGTATATTTGCCTAGATCTTCATCAGTATTACAGTTTTTCACAGAATCTAAGGTTCATGCAGAAATCACTGTTTCAGCTCCCACAGGTTAAAACTCTAGTTCCTAGATGCTAGGCTCTATATCAGATCTAGTTTTGAGCTCCTTCCTTCCCTCCTTTCTTCCCTCATTTTCCTTCTGTTTGAATTTTTTTAAGATACAGGGAAGATAGGTTTTATTTTTACCCTGACAGGCATATCGTAGGCACTGGGAATAACAAAGGATGAATCCAATAGAAATCTCCACACCTGTGGAACTGACATCCCAGTGGATTTGTTTATATATAGTGTCTTCCACTTGGAAAGTGCAAGTGTTCAGTGATTTTTATTCCAGGGTGATTTCAGTTTGGTTTCTTTATTTTGTTTCAGCCCATCATAGATATCACAAAACCAAAGCTTGCTCCACTTAATGAAGGTGGAACAGCAGAACTCCTAAATAAGGTAATGTTATTGTTTTGAGAAATGGAAAACCTCTAATTCTCTTCTCTCATTGCCTGAACAACTCTAGGATGGAGAAACGGAAGTGGAAGGTTTGATTCAGGTCCACTGAGGATAATTAGTTCACTATAGTAGTTTTACTTGATGGTACTTCATAGGCCAGAAGAGGGCATCCTTACCTTCTACAGAGCCTGAAGTAGCTCTTGATCACACCTTTTCCAGGTAAAGTGAAGAGCATGACATTTTGGACAGCATTTATTTATGGACATTGAAAGTTTGTGATCTGCGGTAACAAAGAGAAGGGTTTTTGCTTTAAGTTTGCAAAAATTATTTATCAGCACAGGTTGAGTATCCCTTATCCAAAATGCTTGGGACCAGAAATGTTTTGGATTTCATATTTTTGAATATTTACATTATACAGACCCAGTTGAGCAGCCCAGATCCAAAAATCTCATATCTGAAATTCTCCAATGAGCATTTTCTTTCAGCATCATGTCAGCACTCAGAAAGTTTCAGATTTTGAAGCATTTCAGATTTCGGCTATTTTTCATGACCTTGGTATTCTCAACATTATGCTAGATGTTGTTAGAGATAAAAAGCAGTGTAATACCTGATCCCTTGCCCTCAAAAATGTAATAGTTTTATTGGGAAGGTAGAACTGATGCTCTAGAAATAGAGACCAGAGAATACTCTCCTGTGTGCTACAGGTGTCATACTTGGTAGCAAAGAAGACTCAGTTGTGTGTGGATGAGAGTAGGTGAGAACAGGCTTTCGGATAAGGAGGCACCTAAGCTGGGCCTTGAAGGGTGAAGACCAGTTAAATTATAGAGGAAAAAGAAGTGAGTGTGTTGGGCAGGAGAACAGAACAGGCAGTGACTTGGAAGCGGCATGACTTGGAACAGAATGCAGTGCTCTCTGACTGGCCTGATGTGTTTGTCGGAGTCTAGTGGAAAAAAACACAGGTGACTCGAATGTTTGAGCTGTCTAAGAACAAAAGTGTTTGGCCACAACTCAGTCAGAAGCATCTGTGGGCTTGAGCATGGTACTGAAATGAAGGAGTTCTCCGGATTAGGGTCAACGGTATGCAGTGTAGGCTGAGAATAGACTCAGGATTTGCAGGACCAGCTAGCAGAGAGATGGCAGGGAAGGGGGTCTTTGGAAAAAGCTTGAAAACAGAGGGCTGAAAGAGGAAAGATGTGTCTGAGAAATTGAGAGAAAAGGAACTGGCTGTCTTAGAGCCAAAGCTGACTCGCAGATACTGAGGCTGATGGTCTGGATGAAATTGGGACATTACCAAAATATCGGTAGTGCATTTTTGAGCTATTATCTAATTTAAATTAAATATAAAACTTAGATTTTTGAGTGAAACAAGTAATAATTTCAAATATTAAAGTATTTTGGTTAATATAATAAAACTTGAATTTACTCACAAAGGAAATTTCAAGACTTCAAGAAGAGAATGAGAAATTGAAGTCAAGGTTGAAGACCATTGAAATACAGGTAGCTGAGAAATGTTTTGACACAATTATTGACTTGCCTACAGATTAAATACTGAAAGTGTTTTGTTTAAACTTCATTATAGGCTACAAATGCACTGGATGAAAAGTCCAAACTAGAAAAAGCACTGCGAGATTTACAGCTTGATCAAGGAAATCAAAAGGTGAAACAAGTTTTAACTACCTTTTTCACATTTTCTAAGTAGAATGAAGTTCTGAACTTCAAATTACATCTGAATTACTGCTCACTGCACCCCACCCTCTGCCACTCCCTGAGACGAATGCCTCTGTTGTCCTGTGTTGGGACATCCTTGCTCCCAGAAGGCCTGGTGAGAACCAGTGGTCTTCCCTTTGTCCCTCCTCCAGGGCAGAGGGGACAGTACATAGCTCACATGCCTGCCATTTCCCTGGCATACAAGATATTCTCACATTTTTAAAAAAGTGTTTCCCTTTCACTTTGACATCCAATTAAAGTGGGAGGAAAAGGAATGAAGAAAAGTTTCTAGTTAATTGGTTTATATTTAGGTTTTAGTATAATGAACATTAAAGTTTGCCTTTGATGAGTGTGACAAACTGGTTATGAATCTGCAAATCCATCTGCACCTAGTGACACTATAGAGTACAGTGAAATCCAGTGTTAGAGTTCTTCAGGCCTCTGCATGTAACGACTGAATGTCACTCTATCTGCAGGAAGTCATCGTATGTACAGTTCTGTCTCCTGTGGCCTTTCCATTGAGTGTGCATGCTACAGTATGATTTCATGTGAGCAGAACCATTTGAGTACATACTCAGTTCAGCTGGCCTTCCTAGTGGTCATACTCTCATAAACGTCTGTTAAACAATCCCAAAATCTGCTTCACTGGGCTTTTGCTAATCTTTTTTCTATGAAAAATTTCAAACATACACAGGAGTAGAGAGGACAGTATAATGAACCTCCATACACTCATCACTCTATTTACCAGTCACCAGCGCACGGCCAGTCTGTTTCATTTGTACCTCTGCTTTCTTCTTTCCACCGCCCCCTTATGTTTTTTTGAAGCAAATCTCAGACATTATACAACTTTACCTGTAGATATTTTTTAAACAGGAGGATACTTCTTATATGGCTAATGATTTTCAACCATATTATATACCAAGGACCATAGATTTATAAAAACATGAATGTCCGAGAACAGCTTTATAATTTCCCATAAGTCACACAATTGCAAACACGTTTGGATGATGAATTTGTTTAAAAGCTTTTTGGGGCTTTGCTTCAATTTTACTTTGAGGTTTTGGACACAAAAACAACCAATGAATACATGCCTTTATTACTTGCAATAAAATAAAATCTTTTTTTCAAAGACCAGATTTCAAAAATGAGGAAAGATTTTTTTCTTTTGTTGAAAATACTTAAGTACTTTTTTTTTTTTTTCTTTTGAGACAGGGCCTCATTTTGTTGCCCAGGCTGGAGTGCAGTGGTGCAGTCATGGCTCACTATAGCCTTGACCTCACGGGCTCAAGCAGTCCTCCCACCTCAGCCTCCCAAGTGGTTGGGACCACAGGCATGTGCCACCATGCCTGGCTAATTTTTTTATATTTTTTGTAGAGATGGGTTCTTGCTTTGTTGCCTAGGCTGGTCTCAATCTCCTGGACTCAAGCAGTCCTCCTGCCTTGGCCTCCTAAAGTATTAGAATTACAGGCATGAGCCACTTCTCTTGGCTGAAAGTATTAAGTACTTCATCTACAGATTAACCAGTTGTAGACCATTTTACTGTCATATCAATACAAGTGTTTTTTCTGTCATGTATCTTACCCAGTCAAAAGCAAGATCCAGCCAGAGAGAAGATCCAGTGCTTGTATTATGCTGTAGTTGTCAAAGTATGCAAAAATATACATATAAAAAACTTAAAATCTTAAAAATTTTAAAAACCATGTAATCAGTAATTATGCTCTCATATTATTTCCTTGTAAATGATGACTAAAGTATGTCTATTAAATTTTTGGTATAAATTATATTACCTTTATCATTTTTTTCTATCATTTTGAAGAATTCAGACTTCTTTGAGGATTTTTTTAAACTTGGCTTTTCAAAATGAAACCTATTTACCATCTCAACCCTGTTAACACACATCTTGGACTGAAATACCAGCAGAGCACACGTCATATGTTATGTATTTGGAATTCAGTGACTACTGAGCGTCAGCTGTGTGCAAGATACCACGCATCTGGGGCCGACAGTGGACTGGCCTGCTGGTGACTCTGAAGAGGCTGGTGCTTACCCAGGCAGGCAAGGAAGGCTGGCATGCACACACAACACACATCATTTTTTTCATCTCCTATGATGTTGAATCACCATTCTAAAACAGTTATTTTTAGAATGTCAACATGAAATTATGTGCACGCATTTCTTTTTCATAGGATTTTATAAAGACCCAAGACTTGAGTAACTTAGAAAACACAGTCGCTGCTTTAAAGAGTGAATTTCAGAAGACACTTAATGATAAGACAGAAAACCAGAAGTCACTGGAGGAGAATCTGGCAACAGCTAAGCACGACTTACTCAGGGTTCAGGAGCAGCTGCGCATGGCTGAAAAGGTCAGAAGACTGTGTTTAAGGGATTTGTCTGTTAATGTCCAATCCACTCACACACAGTATAGAGGAATACTTGTGACTAAGATAAACACTGGACAACTGCAAATTCAGATCATTTTTTCTCAAGATATTAGCCAATATGTTCTAAAGATTAATCATTTCTGGGCGCTGGTATTCTTCCATCTTTGGTACTAAAATATCTGTGATAATAAGACATCTCCTCTCCCTCTATGATGTGGTGAAATGCTTCTCTGTAGGCAGCTTGAATCCTGCCCTACACCCCACCGTGTTGCTCTTCTGCTCTTTCTTCCCACAGCCTGCAGAGGGATGGGAGATTTTTTTCCCCAAGGATTTCTATATTTTCTTAATAATTTATATAAAATATGTAGAGAGTTAGAGTCTTCACTTTAGGGATTACACTCAAGAACGTGGGAGTTGAGACCGGGTGCAGTGGCTCATGCCTGTAATCCCAGCACTTTGGGAGGCCAAGATGGGAGGATCACTTGAGGCCAGGAGTTCAAGACCAGCCTGGCCAACACAGTGAGACCCCCCATCTCTTAAAAAGAAGTTTAAAATTTGTTCATATAAAAAAATGGAAAAAAAAGAATATGGGAGCTAAAATTTAACTAAATTAAAAATCCTTTTGCTAAAACATACTACTTTGGAACTTGGAAAAAAGTGTGCTTATTTTACTGGAAAATCAGTTTAATATTTCACATAGCTTTCTTATATCTAGGGGCTTGAGTTATTTACCAACACTGTACTTGGGAAAATATTACTGTTTTATGCCTTCTCATTTGAAAGAATATATTTTTAAAGTTTGGATAGTCTTAATTTTATGTATCTTTTAAGGAAATTACAAAATCATTAGCAAAATACTAGTAAAATTCAAGCAAAAAAAACCTCACACATTTTTATCATATTTGTTATCTCTTTCCTTAACTATTTTTTAGTAATGGGCTGACATTTTTTACTAAGCAGGAATTAGAAAAGAAATTTCAGCAAACAGGAGCTTATCGAAACATGAAAGAGATTCTTACCAAGAAGAATGACCAAATCAAAGATCTGAGGAAAAGACTAGCACAGTAAGCCACACTGATCCTGCCTTTGGATTTCTCTCTCTGGATTGATGTTTGTGCTCTATGAAATCTAAGCTTGTTCCAGAGAGGTCAAGCCGGTGGTCGTTGCTGGGTCATGTAGTCCAGAAGCCTTCATGTGAGGAAAGTGGAGGAGCTCTGGCCTCCCCTCACTTGTAATGCCCACCAGGGCTGCTTTTTAGGTTCCTCTAGGCCTTTAGACTCCTAAAGTAAGCTGCCTACAGTAAGCTGCTCTTGGCAGTAGATTCACTTAGCAGGATATCAGACAGGAAACACAACACGCTAGCAGGGCAGCATTAGATAGTTCTCTTCTCCTCAGTAGTATACTCTCAGCAGTCCTAGAGCTGGTCTTACTGTTCCCCGAAGTGACAAATTAAGTTGGAGAGAAGGAGATCCATGCTGATGGGTGTCATAGCCAGCTTGGCATAGAAGTCCATGGTCTACATAGGATTAGTATCTCTTGTAGCAGTCATTGATGCCCAGCTAGGGATATGTCCAGTTAAAAGAACTCATCACACAGGGGAACCTGAAGTAGTGGCTCCCACCACGTATTTATAGTTCCTCACAGCCCTCCAGGTCCAGATGTGGTCATCTAATGTTTTGCCTGGAAACTGAGTTGACATTTTACCTTTATCAGAGTTCCAGGGGAGCAGAGCTAGCAAGTGAATTCAAGGTGAGATTTGTCCTTAGAGAAGCAGATTTGCTAATCCTTTACTCACATAGTCGTATCGACTATTCTTGTCAATCTGACAATTGAGGTGCTTATACTAAGTTATCACAGGTCTAAATGCCAAATATAGAGACTTGGAGTCTTAGCAGTGATCCAGCCCATCGTTCTACCTGATGTAAAAATCCCCTCTAAGTCACTGTCAAAACTAAGTTGAATGTGTCCAACTTCTACCATAGCAGTAATTTGAAGTGAGAAATAGAGCATCACTGATTTAGTCACTGCAGTTGCTTCAGGTAAACTTATTCGGTAATAACAACAACAAAAGGTATCCTGACATTATGTTCTTAATTTACATCTCCAGATATGAACCTGAGGATTAAAACTGAGGATTGCATCTGGAAGCTGACACATAGAAACATACATGCTGTCTCACTCAGGCATGACACTCAGGCATGTATTCTGAAGAATTTTGTCATATCCCCTTTTTATTTTTCTAATATTTAGACTTTGCTTCTAATATTTAAAACTAGAGTTCATATTTTCAGCTAATTGAAAACAGGGAAAACCTAGTGATTTTGGCTGGTCATCCCACACACCTCTCTAATGAGTGTTCCACAGTCTTAGCTCGCACGCACTGAGAATTCTTTAAAGAAGAGATTTTTAGAGCGCAAAGAAGAGTCTTATCCTTCTGCATTAGTATAAAGAGTCTATCTTTTTAATAAATGTTAAAGAAGCTAACAATGCACTTATGCATTCCCCATGAGTAAAAATAAATAGCATTATTAAAGATAGTTATTACCGAAAAAAGACAGATATTACAAATAAATATGTCTCTATTTTTAAAATGAAAATTCATTTACTCTATTTGATGATGAGAAAACTATGAATTCCTTGAAAATGTGAATTCTATTCCACCTATTATGGGTAGCCTTCTTACCAATTATAAGGAAAATTAACAGCAGTGAACATGAACATTCATTTAAGCTCCCCAGTCTCCCCATTTTAAAGACCATTTGTCAGAGGTGGCTGAACGTTTTTGGCAGCATGACTTTTCATGAGTCTGTGTTACTAATGTATAAGTCAAATCCATCCTGCACTTCCACAGTTTAGAAAGTATCTGGACTCAGAATAAATGTAGTATTTATACTTGTTGCCAGAATATTCTTTTACATTTTATGTTAAATAAGAACACTTTTTAAAAGACTTATACTCAACATAAAATCAGCTATCAGACTTCAGATTGGACTTTATTTATGTGGATCTACAGTAATTATATTTTCCAGAGGTTTTCACTGTATTTTTATTGGCCTGGTTTTTTTAGAAGATTTTAGACAAGTCATTAGGAATTGGGTGTCATATCCACACTTGTGTAAGGCAGCAATATACTATAGGGATAAACAAAGTCAAGTCTAGAAAGCAGTAATCCATCAGAATGAAAGTCCTTACTCTTCACATATTTAGTAATTTTTCCTGCTTCTAAAATTAAGAGTATCACACCCTAAATGAACACTGTCTACTAAGAGACATCCAGTTCCACAAATGAAAACATTCCACTTCCATAAATGAAGATTTGATTCCAAGAGACGAGTTTACTGATTGGAGTATAGGCTTGTTATTATTTTTAGTCAAGCTTTTAATAATAGCCTTGAATTTATTATCTTTCTTATAAGCTTTTGTTAAAATAGTAAAGGAACAAATGACAAAGGGTAAGATAATTTCCCTGCAAAAGGACACAGAAGGCAGTCTTAAGAAGATGCATGGATCAGAGAAGGGACAGAGTCAAATGCAGTAACAAGCCAGCGTTTACTATATGTTTCTTCCTCACCTCTCACCATATTTATGTCACTTACCAGTTTCTGTGTCCTTTTGGAGCTTTTGTTGAGGGCTTCAGTCTCACCCTGTATTTCTTTAGCCCTAAACTGACACTCTCTCTGAAAATCCATTCCATTATCTGTGGCCCAAGATCTATATAATTCAGAAGCAGAACTTTTGGCTAAAGGGTTAGTGTGTCTTTCAGAAACCATTCAATTATTTTCTCCCTATGCCTTTCTCAGTTTGATACCAGTGGGGAAAGAAGGTATGTTGATAAGAAACCTATATTGCTGGGTAGAATTTGTACTTGTTTTCTTGGTAGCAATTTTGAAATATTCTGTAGAGTATGTTCCTATTGTTTAATAAAATATTTCTAAAACCTTAAAACCTAACTATGCCAAGCATTAAGATAAACAGATATGATGTCCTTTGACATAAATCAACATGATGATTCCTTCACATGTAAACACATTTCAGTGTTTCCGGTTTGTCATTTGTGTGTGTTGTTGCTTTTATTTATGCTCTACCCTTAGCAAAATACAGTTTTCAGTTTTCATTGTTTTTAGTAGTTTCCCAACTTTAAGATTTATCTCATTTAACTGAGAAAGAAAGCCTTTTTTGTATATATATTTTGGATTTCTAAGAATGTTGGTTTGAGCCTTGATTAGACTTTTAATGTGCTAAGTCAGATAGGCAGCCTGTGCATTGGTGACCATCATAATGCAGCTTTGGTTTAATTTAATTCAGGGCTGCTGCTAAGTCATGTGCAGACTTTTTGTTGACCAAAATAAAATGTAAACGGTTTTTGTTATTAATTTCTTCTGTTTGACATTTAAGTGTTCATTTTTTTCTTTATGTATTACATTTTGAACCTATATTAAATAAATGTTTACATGATCATTGGCTTATGTCTTATAAAGCCTTTACTGTTCATTATTTCCATTCCGATTAACTGAAAGAGATTTATAGAGATGTTCACATTTTAAGCCCTTGGTGCTTTTAGGTATATATTGGTGGTAAAAAAATTGGCATTAATGATTTCCCTCTGCTTATGTGTAAATGCCTATGTTCCAAAGCTTTGCCACTAGATATTCAAGACATAATTTGTTATGTAAGCCAGTCTTCTAGAAAGAAAATCTATCTCAGCAAAATGATATTTCATATTCAGACTAAACAGTAGTATTTAGACAATAATATTTTGAAAAAAGCATTTTCAAAACTGCTTAGGAAAAGGTTTCAGTATTCACAGAGGGGAAATATACTTAAAGGCAAAAGCCTCTTGAAGAGAAGTGAGTGGGTTGGTGACAACTGGTTTGGGGACTTTTGCATTGTGTCATCAGCTCCTCCATCGAGTGAGCGGACTGCTGTTATTGCCTACTGTAGAAAATGAATTAATGAAGAGTAGTCAGTCTTTTACATTATACGAAGTATTACTTCCTCTCTTTTTTACCTACAATACATCCTTTAACTTTTACAGATTAAAAAAACCACTGTTAGACAAAGCAAAATGGAACTTGGAAAATCCATTATAGTTTTGTAAAATAGCAATGGGCCTACTGTCAAATTAACAGCTTTTTAAATGGATTTTCATGAGAACTTGGAAAAGAAACATAACCACCAGGAGCCAGCATGTATTGCTCTAGTAAGAAATCAGGTGTGGCAGAGCCAGGTGTGGTGTCTCAAGACTGTAATTTCAATGCTTTGGGAGTTCCAGGCAGGGGGACTGCTTGAGGCCAGTAGGTCAAAACCAGCCTGGCCAATATTGCAAGACCCCATCTCTACAAAAAATTTAAAAATTAGCTGGACATGGTGGCATGTGATCACATCACTACACTCCAGGCTTCATGACAGAGTGAGACCCTATCTCACACACACACACACACAAACTCATTTGTCTTTTTAAAAGCATGAGAGATATAGTATGTCAGAATTTCAGCAAGGTGCTTGACAAAGACCTCATGATAATTTTGCTGAAAAGAATCTTAGGTGTGTTTTCCCACATGTAGACTCTAGGATAAAGGATTTGGGTGCAAGTAATTTATTTGGGAAGTAATTTCAGGAAATCCTGTGGAAGAACTGAGGAACTGAGACAGATTGAAAGACTTACCACTGTGGGCAACTGGGGCTCAGTCCTGCTGGAGACCCTCTGAGACATGGTATGGAAAACATCTCTGAATTCTTCCACTGAAGGGCAAGGTAGCTGGGAATATTATCCACCACTTCCCATCCCTCACTGATTAAGGGTCAGCTCTGAGGTATTCATTCCTTGCCATGCCCAGCCTTCCTGGATGTGGACCAGGTTCACCCTCATAACCAGAGAATGCTCTCAGGCAGAGACTCCAGAAGCCAAGCATGGGAACTCTCTGCTTGCAAACCCAGGAGTTGATGGGGAGTGACTGTTAATGGGTCCTGCATTTCATTTTGAGGGGATGAAATGTTCTGGAATTAGGTAGTGGTGATGGTTATACAACTTTTTGACTGTACTAAAAATCACTGAATTGTATACTTTCTTTTTTTTTTTTTTTTTTTTTTTGTCTTTTTTTTTTTTTCTTTTTTGCACCCTTTGAATGCCATTAACAAAAAAACCACATACACAATGGAAACTGGAAGTGGATCCAGGCCAGTAGCACCTAAACCTAGAAGAATTTGTGGATTTGTACAAAATGCAGAGGAAGAAATGAGGCAATGTGGTGCTGAGTCGAGGGGTAGCCGATTGGCAGAGTAGGAGTCAGCAACAGTGCAGTCAGGTCATGCCTCTTTCTCATAAGTGCGAGTGCAAACTGCAGTGCCGTGGGTGAGTGTCAGGATGAGTTTTCCATCAATTAGCTCCCGCACAAGTGTCGTCTCTTGCCTGTCCCACTTCTGTAGGTGAACAAGTTTGCCTCCATCCAGTGTCACAATGGACTTGACCTTCCTGTCATCTGCTGTTGTCTCATCGAATTCCACCCCCAGCTTAAAGCTGATCTCTGTGTTCTTGAAGGTGCTGTGTGTTTTTAGGATGATAGTGTCCCCATTCTTTTCAATGATTGTGGTAGGCTTGGTCATGTTGGCCACCTGCCTGGTAGCAAAACCCACACCGAGTGACTTCATGTAGTCATCGAAATTCTTGCTGTCCACTAGCTTCCAGGTGCCCAGGAAAGCGTCCACCATAGTGATGCTGGGCTAGGCTGAGATAGAAGCTGCGAAGAGAGCAGGCGTGCAGACTCGGACGGCCTGAATTGTATACTTTCAAAGGATAAATTTTATATGTGAGTTATATCTCAATTTAAAAAAAGAGAAAACCTCTGGGAATAAATGAAGGGGATATGTTGAAGCATCTCCAGCAGCTAATCCCGCACTCCCGCTCTACCTGTGCCACCTTGTGTCCCATGTTCAGTTCACTTTCTCTCAATGGTAATGCTGGTCACGATTTTTTTTTTTTTTTTTAGATGGAGCCTCACTGTGTTGCCCAGGCTGGAGTGCAGTGGTGCAATCTCAGCTCACTGCAACCTCTACCTCCCAGGTTTAAACAATTCTGTGCCTCAGCCTACCAAGTAGCTAGGATTACAGGCACCTGCCACCACACCCAGGTAAATTTTTTGTATTTTTAGTAGAGATGGGGTTTCACCATCTTGTCCAGGCTGGTCTTGAACTCCCGACCTTGTGATCCACCCACCTCGGCCTCCCAAAGTGCTGGGATTACAGGGGTGAGCCACTGCACCCAGCCCACAATATTTTTAAAACAATGAATACAAAAAGGAAAACATCAACGAAAAGGTTAGTGGGACAAGCTGTAGTCCTCTCTGTTGCATATTGGTCCTGAAGCCAATTCACATTTATCATCTCCCTCTTCTACTTACTCAGATTCCCCCCCAGCACTTTCGCTGGTCAGCATGGCTAGCCTCATGGGGTGACCTAGACTTTCCTTTCTTAGGTGTCTGAGCCCCTGATCATTTTGCCCCTGTCCTGCTGTAGTTGTGAAATTTCCCATTTATTGTTATCCCCACATATCACCAAGAGGTACCCCTACACTACAGCCTGAACCATAGAGAGGTACAAAGCTCTCCTGACGGTGCGCTCAAAACTTGCAGCCTCCTGAGTGACCCAAGTAATGGTCAGAGCAATATTCCTAAGTGTTGTACATGCTGACTTCAAAATCCAGATAATACTACCTAGTGCTTGCCTCTCTTAGTGGTAGAAGGTACAAAATGCAATAACTGGCTCTTGAGTTGGCAGGATGTCCCCAGTATTCCCTAGATTGTTGGACCTCTGGCAACTTTACCATTATGTGAGGCCTCCAAATCTTCATAGGAGTCACCTTCTCTCTGGTGCATGTGTCATAAGGAACACCCAGATTATATCCCAATTCATTCCTGTTCACCAGGTCCAGTTAATATTTGTCATCAAAGTATTGGGCCAGGATGATGTTCTGCAGAATGTCAAGATGATCAAGGACTTCTTTGGACTGTTTTGTAACAGAGCAGGAAGGTTTATATGCTCCTGGAACAAAACGTGAATGGACACTGTGTTATCTGACCCAGGTGAATTCAACCTGTTCTTGATTCTCTTTTCTGAAGGGGATTTAAGAGAATTCATTAACCGGATCTCCAGCCTCATATCCAGTGCTGATTAGAAGGAATGTTATATCCAGCACAGCGTCTGCCGCTGAAGCTTCTTCTGCCACTTCGTGGTTTATATTAGTCCACTGCCATCTTCTACCATCTATCTGTGTTCTGCTCTGTTTTGCTTTGCAGGACCCATACAGTGGGATATTGTGGGGATCACTGTCCATACTCCTGGGATATGGTGTACGGATTTGCCTCTGATTTTGGCCAGGAGTTGGGAGCAGAGGGTGAGATGGAGAGAGTATTTTGGAGCGTTAAATAAGCCTTTTCTACCATTACAGTTCTTATCCCTCAGGTCAAGAAACCAATTTTAGTGTCTCTCAGTTAAGTACACTCATCCCATTTATCCTCTCAGAAACAAGGGAGATCAGGGGATTGACCCACAGGCCACTGGATCCACTATGAGATGTCCTTGGGTCAGAACTTCATAGATTGCCTATCCTATATGTTCCACTCTAACAAGAGGGCTCTGATGGTGCTTTAGATCCCCTGAGTATGTCACTCAGGCCATGTCCAGTAGTTCTTGAAAGATGTGTATATTCTACTTTCTCAGTGTACAGTTACTCTGAGAAATGGCCATGGGGCTCTTGGGAAAAGATTTGAGGGAGTGTGTATCGTACAGGGTTGCTATAGCGCTGTAGGGCTCCCCCTCAGGAGACCCAGCCTCTCCTTCAGCCCGTGGGCTCTGGAACCGAGAACGGACTCGGGGACAAGCTGTAGTCCTTTCTGTTGCATTTGGTTGGTTGGCTTGGTTTTATAACAGTAACTTCATTGACTGTGCATTCATCTCACCAAGAGGAGTGCCATAATCTATTAGCCACTGGTCCTTGGCTCCCTGGTGGTTCTTCTGGCCCTGTGGCCCGTTAGGTTACTGTATTCATTTTATTCCTCTGATGTCTGAGTGCTGCCATTAGTTTTTTGTTCTGGAATCCTTCCTATCATAGCCCAGTTATGTGCCAGCATCTTCTATTGTCAGTTCTAGCCAACAGAAGACAGCCACCACTGAGCTTCTCAGCAATGCTAATGTCCCCTTACCAGTGCAGTCTTTACTGTTTCAGTGACGAGAGTATCCCCTGCCCACAGGTGGGCTCTCTCACCTTATATCCATTCTAGCATGCCATCCCTCTGAGCCTTCTGACCCCTCCTCAGCACTCTGTCAAGGCAGTTGTGGAATCTCCACCTCATTTTTGGCATCCCATCATCCTTAAGCACCAAGGCCCATTGCAGCAGTGTATTAGGACTGGCTCCATGTGTCCTTACCAACGTGCCAAATCCTGAGTCACAAAAGACAGTCTCTATATCAAAAAACTCTTCTTTATCCAGCTGCTTTTCTACTTCCCACTGGGCCATCCTCAAGATCTATAGCCATGTGTGTTCTTCCAGCTTCTGCCAGTCTAGGTTCTGTTCTTTCAGGGGAAGAATCCATTTCTCCTCAAAGCAGGATAATATTTCTCTGCATAGGGCATGCTGATATCCAGCCCTATTTATTGGTTTAGAAGTAATGAGTGGAAGTGGGGACAGATCCTGAGGAAGACCAAGGTTATCCTGCCAGTCTCCTTTCAAGAGAGGCCTTTGAAAGGCTTCCAAGTGATAGGAGGCTACTCTCCTCTAGCAAGAGGGAGTGAGCCACTTCTGTTATACCCAAGGGTTCAGGAGAAACTGGGGTATCAAGGTTTTGGGGGACATTTGCCCATATGGGCCCCTCATATCTCAGAGTTGCACTCCTTCCCAATCAGGGCCCTGACTTAAGCAAAGGATACTTTCCAGGCATGTGAATTGAGTCTCCTTTGTATCTGCACCACCTTTATAATCCAGTCATGGGCCTGATTCTCAGTATATTCTGGCTTCTGCACATAGGAGATATGGGTTCCTTTAAATAGAGATCTGGGGGCCTTCTAGTTGTCAGGGCATCTCTTAAATAATAGTTGGCTAATCAGAGCCTGTCTTCTCTTCTTTCATTCCAAGCCACACCCAGGTAAGAGTGATGGTAACTGACCCAGCAGCATGACAGGGTTTATCACCACTACACTTAACACCAGCAGTGGGATCCTGTTGTCATCTGGCTGGCATCAAGTCCAGTGTCTCATCCTGAGGCTACTTTCTAGGGCCATTTCTGGCCCCAGCTGTTTTACTTGGGCTCCCCCAAAAGCAAAACCCTGAGGTACAGATCTTGGTTGAAGTGGGGAGGTGATTTCAGGAAGCGGGGTGAGGGTATGGAGGCATGAGGCAGGCAAGGGAAGAAACTGGATAAAAGGTGTGTTAATGAGCAGGTTAGCACTATACACCACTGGCTCAATCCCACTGAGAAGTGAGGAAGCTGGGAATGCATCCACCAGGCCTTCATTTATCAAGATGAGGGTTGCTCCTGGGATGTTAACTCCTTGTTGTTGGACCTAGGCTGAGCATGCTTCTCTAGGTAAGAAAGGGCGTCAGGTGAAGAGACACAGAGAACCTTCTGCAGGTCAAATTCCAGGCTGGGATAAAGGAATGTGGGTGTGACATCAATAGCATCTCATCCCACAGTGAACTCAGAAGATAGAAGAGCAAATGCAATGAATATTTGCATGTTTTCAATACTCACTCATCAAAGGGTCAACTCAACTTAGAAGAAATTACAAACCCTGCTCAGCATTTTCAGTCCAGTATGCTCACATGGCCAAGCCACAGCTGCCTTTAAATGGTAATAATTCTGAAAAAAAAAAAAAAAAATCTCTGTACTGAGTGCCTAGAGCAGAGCTCATCATTGTGACTCAAATATCACGGGTGCTCAATCCAAACACCTGTGAAATTGACCTTCTGTTTCCTGGCCAAGTACTGCTTACGCCATGAAAAACCTTGGTGGGTAGGTTGTAAAAAAAATCAGATATTACTGTACCTATAAAGTAATTTCCTAACACTAAAGTTTATCCATATAAATGACCCAAACTTCTTTCATTAAAAACCTTTAATAGAAAATATAATTTCCTGCCTTCTTAAGCAGTGAGTCATAAGCATAACTTTATCTTTTCCTGATGACTCAAAGTCATTATTGCAAGTGTCAGTGATTGTCCTATACTGCAGTGTTCTCAGGGCTGCTGAGGTGTGGAGCTGTTTGCCCCTTTGTAAGTGGTTTATAAGCACTGTTTTTTTAAACTGCTGCATCTGCCTTTTATGGTTTATGTATGTTCTTTCCTATTAGGCTGGTAGCTAACACTGGTTTGGTTTGGTTTGGCAATCTCTGTTGCCATTTTCCAAGGTGGGCCTGGAAAATAAATGGAGCCATTTATTACAATGATACATAGCCTCAGGATGAGGGCTTAAGGGACTTTGTGTGCGAAGAGCACAGGCTTTGTGGCATCTTTGCAGCTCCAAGACATTTTTAGATTGCTTTATAAGAGAATGTTAGCCTTCCAGGTTACCAGCTTTGTCTCAGATAGTTGGGGTTTCCAGGTAAATAATTTTGGATAAGTGAGATTGTGTGCCTTTTATTGATTTCTCTTGCCTTATTGCACTGGCTATGACCTCTAGTACAATGTTGAATAGAAATGATAGCAACTTCACTTCATTCCCAGTCTCAGGGAGAACACTTTATATATTTTACCAGCAAGAATAAAGCTTGCAGGCCAGG